CTTCCACCCCTCACCTGTTTCTCTCTTCCTCCTCCCTTACATCTGTGAGGTAGAAGGCATCTGGGCTGCATAACCTCATGGGAAGGGGATTAGGAGTGTGCGGTAACTTAGGGAGCTTTGCAGGGGCCCTGGAAGAAAGGTTCAGGGCAGCAGGCAGAAAAGGAGCAAGACCAGAGTCTTGGTCAGACATTAGGACATGGACTGACCCATATGGTGAGAGTTGGAAGTGGAGTGAAGTACCTTCCTAGATAAGCTCTTGGGCTCAGGAGCCATGCTGAATCCCAGGCAGAGATGCTGGAACAGCATGTTAAATAAGCTCTATTCTTGTCAGAGCTCACATCCTGGGGTTGCTGTTGCCACTCACTCCCCCTCTCCTGCCACCCTGTGACCTTGCTGGACACATAATTCTACCTAAAAAGCCAGTAAATGAGAACCTGTCAGCTACTGACATCATGTCTGAGAGGCTTTATTTTCTGTGGGGTTGATCTGCAGTGGGCAGTGGCTCCTCACACTGTAATTTTAACTCTCTGCCTGCCCAGCCTCTCTGTCAAAGTAGTGATCAGTAAACAGATGCTGAAAGGCACCAGGGGACCTCACCATTTAAAGGACTCCTGCAGTGAATTCTTTTGTAAAATGAATAATGGCACCCTCATTTATCTACTTTCTAAATTTGGGTCCATGGGGGTGTAGAGGGCATGCCTGTGTGCTGTCGCCAGCAGACAAGCAGAAGGAAGGGAATCTGAGGTTTCCTTCCCCTGCTCTCATGCCACACTCAGGATCCCCAGCCATATGCAGTTTCCTCTCGCTGCCCCACGGAAAGCATTAGGGATGCTCAGCACGCTCAGAGGGCAGCTTTGCTGAAGGCTGGGACTCTGATGACCTACTGAGAGGTGAACCTTTGACTTAGAAGGCAGGGCCAACCTGGGAGCCCCTGCTTGGAATGTTCTGTGTCCTTCAGAGACCACATCACTACATCACCAGGCCAGAAGTGCTGGCCAGGTAGTAATGTAGTTTTTCTAAACCACTTTCAGGCATTTGTCCCTCTGCCACCCAGCCAGTTCATTTACAAGTTAATCTTTGCTTGTATTTTAAAAAGCCAAGTGAGCCACTAGGAATGTAGTGTGGGCAGCCTTCCTCTTCTCCTCCAGCAGAGGAACAGGCGCTAGAGCTGAGGGCAGGAGCCAGAAGTTGGCCCAGGAGCAGCAGGAGGAGGCAGGATAGGGCCATGGGTAGGAGCAGGGTCTGGAACCCTTCAGCCTCTCACTGGGAGCCCAGGGAGAGGGATTGAAAGGAATGTGGGGGTGGGAAGGAATGAAGCCAGTTTCTGCTCCCCAGGACACAGAGATTGGGGCATGCTGTGTCTCCACAGAAGCTTCTAGACATTCCTGCCCTGAGCATGAGAGAGGCAGCCCTCCCACAATTCTTTCCCTTCCCACATCACTTCCCTGAACCCCCTCCTTTCCCCCCAGTACAGTTAAACCTCTCTAATTTGGAATGTTATATTTGAGAAGATGGCCACTCTGAATAAGTGACAAAACTGAATGACAGTGTCTATTTAATGAAATGCATGTCTTCAAAATATATACAGTAAGTAGAACTCGATGAATAAGGCTTTTCTACACAAGGCCCTCAGGGAGCATGTGTTAAAGAATAGCGAGCTTTGAAAAATCTGTTTTCTAGCATAGGTTAAATATCCCCTCCTACAGACACATTTTCACTATTAATTTGTTTAGCACACCCTTTCTTCATAGATAAAGGAAAACTCAAGCCCAGTTTTTGTTCAAATTATGACAAAATTCCAAATCCATGGGGGTTTGGATTAATGAGGTTTTGCTGTACTGCCTCCCCTTGTTCCCTCAACAGGAAGTTCCTACCTCGGATTGGGGGTGCTCTGGGAGGGGGTTCAAAGAGGAGGGTGGGCTGGGCCGGGGATGAAGGGTTAGGTTGGGGGTAAGGCTGGAATTTGCTTCTTTTGAACTGGTTTCCTGGTGTGACTCCCTGGGTTGAAGGCCCCTGATAGGAGTCTGGGGTGAGGTTCTCTTCTCTCTGGTCCCAGAAGATGTAACTTCTACCGCAGGTGAGAAACAAAACAGGAGGACGGGGTGGGGGCTTGGCCTGGGGGAGGGGGTGGCATGTGGACATGGAGAGGGCTGGTTACAGGGGAGGCCATACTAGGGGGCTGGCACCCAGGCCCCCGCGAAGCGTCTCAATAAGTCCGCGCTCTCCTCTTTGGTGTTTTGCAGGAGAGGCAGCTTCCCCCCTTGGGTCCAACAAACCCGCGTGTGACGCTGGCCCCACCATGGAACGGCCTGGCCCCCCCACCCCGGCTGCAGATCACCGAGAACGGCGAGTTCCGAAACACCGCGGACCACTAGCCCGCCCAGCATCAGACCTTCTTCTCCCTCCCCATACACCCCACCCCGGAACAGCACCAACCACCAGGACTGGACGTCACCGAGGGACAGCGGGATTGCCTCCCTGAAAGCCTCCTTGGGGGGCACCTGACCCCCACCCCCACTGCACCATTTCCAGGCGGGGGAATGGGGACCCTTAGATGCCCCTTTTACCTTCCCATTGGGGTGCTGCCCCCTGTGACCCCCAGGGACCCTTGCCCCAGGACACCACCTACCCCACGCAGACCCCTTCACTCCGGGGTGCTATCCCCATCCTCTGCCTCATCGTTCCCCTGAGCACTGGGGGACAGACCCTCGCCCCCACCCTGGGGGTGTGGCACCTCCAAACTTTCAACTTCAGGGTGATTTTTTAGCAGTAACCAGAGCTGACAATCTAATTCCCCTCCACCGCCCCATTTTGGCCTCCCCTGTCCCCCTTGTTATGGGGAGGGGACCCCAGGTGAGGGGGCCCTATTACCCCTTGATTTCTCAGGAGCGTCTGGGGGGGCTCAGCACGCACAAACTCCTTCTCCTCCCACCACTCTTAAATTTTATGCCCTCCCCACCCAGAACCCAGATGGGGTGGAGGGGCCACCGGGGCAGGGAGGGGGCGGCAAGGGAGGAATGGGAGTTGTCTCCCCTTCTTCCCACACCTGATCTGCTCTTGGCTGGTCCCAGAGCGGGGTGAGGGGGCTTATGCCCCCCCCTCCCCCAGTGTGTTGGGTGGGGTGGAATTGAGGTTAGGGTGAGGGGTTAGGGTGTGGGGGGTGCGTGTGTTGGGGAGGACAGATAGTTGATCTGCCCCCCTTGACACACACAGCCCCTCCTGTCCCTCCCCTCTCTCTTGGTCTCTACTCCCAGGGGGAGGGGGGAATTTACTCTAGGAAAAGCCATGTCTCTCTCCCCCAGGGTGGGGGGACCTGTGTTGGAGGAGGGGTGTTGGGGGCCCCCTTCCATGACTCTGTTCCCTGGGGGAGGTAGGACAGGGCTGGGCTTCCCTCTCATCCTCCCCCCCTCCACCCCCAACCTCCCTCCACCATCCTCCCTCCCGCCAGCTCCACGATTTTTTTCGGTGTTTCTCTGTACATAGCTCTCTGGCGGGATAGGGGAGGTAGGATGGATGGGGTTTGGGGTGGGTAGGTCATGGGAGGGGAGAAACCCCTCCTTGGAACCCCCTCTTCCCTGACTACTGTCCCCTACCCAGCCATGCCCCCTCTCCCTTCTTGCGTTTGGTATTGAGATTCTTCCCAGACTCCACCCTTCTTTCTTTTGTATGGACAGTTCCCCTTCAGTTCCACCCCCCTACACACATACACCCAGCCGGGGCCAACTTTATACTTATATAAAAGTTGTAAATATGTGAAATTTTATCCCTGTGCCCTTCCTTGCTTTCCCAACCTCAGGCCCTATCCCGGGACCCCCTTTCCTCCTCTCTTCTTTGGCTGTTGTAATTATCTGGGGTTTGTACTGTACATAACCGGGGTGTGTGTGTGTGGGCTGGGGGCAACCCCTCTGTACAGAGCTTCCTGGCCCCCTCCTGTCCACCCCACGGTTCCCTCCTACCCACAACCCTGAAGGGCAGGGAGAGTATCTTCCTACCTGTTTTATTTTGTTTTCTCGTTCTCCCTCCCCACCCGACCCCCAGCCTTCTCAATCCTCCATCAGTGTCCCGTTTTCTCCACTCCCAGCCCCATTTCCTTTTTTTCTGGAGTGTGTGGTGAAACAGAAAACTCATGTTTAATAAACGGAGATTGTTCTTTTTTTGCCGTGCTGATTTTCCTCGGCTGGGACCACAGCGTGATAGGCTCTGCTCGCTGGGGAGAGACTCTCCTAGGATATCGTGTTTTCTGTTTGGGCGCAGAGGTGCGGCACTGGCCAAACTCCGCAGTCTCGCGCTCCCCTAGCCACTGCTCCACTGACCTAAAAGGAGGCCAAGGGGAGGCTGCATTACCTGAAAAGATCCCAAATACCGACTTGAAACAACTAGTTTAAATGCTGGTTAACATGCTCCCGCGCGGAAGGGAGAAAAGAATGTGGCTCCTTAGCAAGTCTGGGTCCCGTCCCGGGCTGGCGCTGACCAGCCTCGGCGTCCCGGGAGGAGAGCGAGGAGCCACGCCCACCTGCAGGCTGGGGGCGGCGCTGCGAGGAGACGCGGGCGGAGCCTGGCCACACGCAGAAGGTGCCCGTGAGTCGCACCCTCCCGGCGCTGGCTGGGGAGCAGGTGGTGCCGGCACCACCGCGCTGGCTCGCGGGGCGCCCCTGGCCTCGACAGC